AATTTTTATAATTTTTAATATAAATTAATTAAAAAAATATATTTATTACATTTAATACGTGCGATTAAAGGACGGCACAGGTTGTGGAAACACTTAATTAAAAATATCCCCTACAATAAAATGATATCAGTGCGGTGGGCTCTACCATTTTGACCGGATCAAATCTAATAACAGGTCGACCGCCACGTTGCGATTAACGTCTACTTCAGTGGGGCCAAGCAAAGTGAAGATTCCGTAAGGGTTTGATTGGTGGACGCTGTCTTGATGGCGACGTCGGTTTGACGAGAATCGCCCCTCGCATCGCTGCCGTACACGTGGGTGGCATCCTTGGAAACCCCACCAACGTGGGTTTGGATGGTCGGGAGGAAATCCGAGAAATGAGCCTTCATGCTTCGAGAAGACCAACACCTGGAATTTCCTTAATGGATATTGAGAATTGCAGTAAAGGGGTGGTTCCATGGAGTAGAAAGAAAAGGTCGGGTATTACATTTTTTTAACAAAGGAACTATGAGGCGGGGTGAAAATAAAGAAAAAAAATTTAAGAAAATTTTATTAGATGAAGAATTTTAAGGGCGTGTTTAAACAAATTTTCTTGGGAGTAGTTTTTTTAACAAAGAAAACTTTGAGAATGGATAAAAATTTTATTCATTATAAAATTTAATAATTTTTATACAATATTTTTTAAATTAATTTTTATAAAGTTTATTTTAAAAAATTAGCATTTAGCTAAACACACCCTAATTGTTTAATATTCTTTCTAAAGATGACCTATTTTAACAATATGTTTAAGTCGGAGTACTACAAAAAGTATATTATACACAACTATAATCAAAGATAGAACTCAGTTATATGTTAGAGTAAACTATTAAAACATGATGGGTTTTTTTCATTATCACTCATAATTAGGGGCGCCGAATGGTAGAGTGGGGCATAATATGATCGCCTCTAAATCTCCCTTACTCCCAAACGAGATTATCATTACGATGGTTCTAAAATTCAAAATCAGTAGTTTAAGTTAACCTCACATAACCTTACCCTACTATTAAGTACCATAATCTAGACACTTAGGGGCGTTTGGATTATTGTTTTGATAACAACTATCGGTTGTTAGCTCTAATCAAAGGATTAAAATCTCTAAATTCTAAATAATAATGATTATTAGTCGTCAATATTATTTATGAACTATCAATTTCATCTGAACTGTTAATCCAAACATCCCTTTAATTGTTCAAACACTACTGCAGGAATCGGATATTCAGACCGAAATATCAGTCTGGATATATTCAAAATCGGTCCGAATATATATATCCGGACCGATCTTGGTCCCTATAGTTGATCTGAAAAAACCTGGTACGAAAAAATATAATATATAAACCGACATAAAATCGGTCCGTATATATATAATATACGGACCGAAATCGGTCCGAATATTTCAGTAAGAAATATAAATGGTTATTTAAAAATTGAAATAAGCGGACCGAAATTGGTCCCAAAAAAATAATATAATAAAATAATAAAATATGTACGAACCGAAAACAGTTTGAAAATGTGGCGGAAAGAGGCATAACAAATATATATGGACCGATATCGGTCCGAATATGGAGAACCCAGTAGCAACTTTCAAAACTTGCAACTATATCCAGATCGTTTTCGGTCGGAATATGTTGGACTTTCTTGTAACTTTTAAAAATTACTGTCCCAACTGGCTTCATTCTGAAAATATATCCACACCGGTTTCGGTCTGAATATATTGGACTTGGTTATAACTTTTAAAAGTTCCATCTCCAACCGCATTATTCTCAAACTATATCCAGACCGTTTTCGGTCTGAATATTGTGGACTGGCTTGTAACTTTTAAAAGTTTCTATCCCAACCAGCGGCATTCTCAAACTATATACAGACCGGTTTCAATCTAAATATATTGGACTTGGTTGTAACTTTTAAAAGTTCCATCTCCAACCGGTTCCAATCTCAAACTATATCCAAATCGTTTTCGGTCTGAATATGGTGGACTTGGTTGTAACTTTTAAAAGTTTCTCCCCCAACCAGCGCCACTCTCAAACTATATCTAGACCATTTTCGATCTGAATATGGTGGACTCGCTTGTAACTTTTAAAAGTTTCTCTCCCAACCAGCGTCATTCTCAAACTATATCCAGACCGTTTTCAATTCGTAAATATCTTCAAAGAAAAAATAAAATAAAAACAATAAAAAATAAAGAAAACAGATTTATTAATTTTACAATTCAAAATAAATCCATTTATAAAAAAAGAAAATATGCTT